ACTTGATGGCACCTGACAACAACAACAACAGGGTTTCCAAGGCTGCAAATCTTGACGGGAATAGAATGCCTCATCTTTCTCCCGCGAAGCGGCTGGTAGTTTCGAACTGCTGACTTCAAGGTTCGTAGCCCGATTTGTAACCACTGCTCTACCAGAGCTCTCTATCTTAACATTAGTCCCCTATTTTACCCATTCAAATCATGCCTCAATCCCTATATCCCAGAGCCCTGTTTTCCAGGTTGTACATAAACGTCTTTATTTACTTCTGTCTCACTTAACGAACCTTCCTAACTGTTCTCCCACTGGCCTTGTTTTTCCATTCTTCCATCTCCCCCCCCCCTTCTTGTGTATTGCCCCCTTCCCCAACACCCAGACTATCATGTGTCTATTCCCTACCCTGTGCTCCACCTTCCCTTCCCTTCACTTATTGACTCTTGTATCTGACATTTCACAGGACTTATTTTAAACATTAATGACACATGTCTGACAGTAATGAAGGCCAGGGCCCTTTATGAGGTCCTTGACTAATGAACCTCATGTGCATCTACATAAATTTTTACCACTTTGGGAGCGGAGAGAGGAGGTGAAGTGTCCCCAAGTCATTAGAGAGATGGATGGGGTTGAGCAAAGGGAGTTGTTCATCAGTCTTAATGATGGGGTTGAAAGTATAACATATGAGAAAAGTCATGAAGATCGTTTATTCTTGCATGAATGTGTACCCACAGGGCTGAAGCCAGGGCAGTGTATTCTAAGGAAGAAATAGCACGCAGTGTTGTGGCCCCAATTCTCAGCCCCAAGGGGCTGCAGGGATGGACTGTGGTCAAAAGGACCCTTAGATGGGACACTTTGGTACCTGGGGTCCCCAGTGCCCCATGTCAGCTGACTAACACGTGTGCATCCCCCTACACTTCCATGATGCCCCCTCCTGGGTGGGTCTGGGTCATTGGGTGAGTGGCTTGTGGCAACTTAGTTTCAGGTCAAGGACAGAGGCCACACTTGTCAGGACCTCAGAAGAAACTCTGGACTGTCCATTCTCGTGGGGACAGTAGGTGGGGAAGGCCAACCAGTGAGAGCCAGGGGATGCTGGGTTGAAGGACTGGTGGGGAAACCCTGCAGACAGTGTGTACCTCCCATAGAACTCAGGTCTTCCTACCTACAGACAGGGAGCCCCCTGCCCCCCGACAAAGCCACCAAGGGAATTTTCAGATCATTGGGGGTGATGAGCTGGGACCACCATCCTGAAAATACAGTGAGGGCAGAAGAGGAGAGGGGACCCCAAGGATGGGAATGGCGACTGTGCTGGGCCACCCTTATCTGAAGACTAGGTAACCCTCCACTTCAGGCATCAGTGGGGAGGCTATGTGGGAGAGGTAGTGGTGGCAGGTGACTTCATTAGGAGCCTGGTGGGACATTAACAGAACAGTTGAGGGGGTGAGATGATATGGTTATTCTCCATTTTTACATAATCCCAATTTTCACATAACAGCATGGTCTTTGGAACATAACCCTGTTGATAATTAAAGAATACGTGTGATATAGCAGTTAAAATGAACCTTTTTAGGTTTGGCGCTGAGAAATCAGGCCACTGCTGGTATCAAACAGGACCATGCAAAAATGTCAGCTGTTTTACACTCAAGTTGTTATAAAATACATGGTTTACTTTATTTCCTTTTGTGCTTTAGTCGAAGAAAAAAGGACTGAGTGCAGAAGAAAAGAGAACTCGCATGATGGAAATATTTTTTGAGACGGTAAGTTGTTTTCCCTAAGATTTTTTAGTATTTTGTATGATTTTCTCATTAAGTATATGCCATCTGATGTTAACTGTACCTTCTTCATTAATGATAAATACTAAGCAATTTCCTGAAGAATGGATAACATTCTGTAAACATGAGTTATCTTTGGACTATAAGTGTGAAGAAACCATATTGCACCATTGACATAATGTAGAATCTCTTCTCTCCAACCTGTTCTGCAAACTGGTCCCAGAGTTCCTTCTGAATCATGTGTTTGACTGTGTGCCTTTAATGTTTTCAAATAGTAATGATGATGATTTTGTTAAGTGCCATAAGTCAGTTCCAGCTCATAGAGACCCTGTATAAGGCTTCTGAGGAGCAGCTGGTGGGTTTGAACTGCTGATCTACAGCACCACACCAGTACTCCAGTAATAGCTCCCATGGATTGAGTGCTTATGAGGAGCCAAGCACTGTTCCAAGAACTTTGCACATATTAACTCGTTTCATCCTTCTTACATACAATGATGTTAGGTATCCTCATTTGTAAAATGAGCAAGATAACAAGAATACAAGGTTAATATAAGGATGAAATGAATTAATATGTACAAAGTTCTTGCAACAGTGCTGGGACTCTGGTAGCGTGAATCGGGCTGCTAATCTCATGGTCAGCAGTTCGAAACTACTAGCAGTTCCATGGGAGAAAGATGAGGCTTTCTGCTCCCATAAAGATTTACAGCCTCGGAAACCCTGTACAGGGTCGCTATGAGTTGGAACTGACTCCACGGCACATAACAACAACAACATACAATGACCCTAAGGATATCAAAAAATAGAAGCAGTAGTAACCCCACTCACTGCCATCGAGTTGGTTATCACTCATAGTGACCTTACAGAACAGGGTGTCTAAGATGATAAATCTTTACAGGAGCAGACAGCCTCATCTTTTGTTCCCTCTTAGTGGCTTGTGGATTTGAACAGCCCAACTTTACAGTTGACAGCCCAACACTTAGTCCACTGTGCCACCAGTTCTCATTAGAAGTACCAGGATTTAAACCCAGGGAGAATTTCCTGATTTTTGCAGGCACTGCTAAATACTACCTCTTTGCATTATGAATTTATCTGTAGTGTAACACAGATGTGATGCTACACAGATCTGTTAATTTAGTGCAGGTATTTGTGCTTGCACTAACAGGAAATATGTTTGAAGGTTTAGTTCCAAAGTGGTAGAGTCTGGTGCTAGAGCCTGCTTTCTTCACCATGTGGCTATAATGTGGCTTTTCTTTGCCTTTAGGTTAAAATGCAAACAGATCTTTAACTTAAAAAAAATATTAACTTCATATGGCTTAGCCTAATACTTGGCTGAATGTTCCAAAAGCTCCGTCTTACCCCAGCCTCCTGGACATTTTTGTTATATAGAAACGTGAAGATGATGGGTAAAAATGGTACATTTTGTTTTTAAATACCACTGAGTTGGTTCCGACTCATAGGGCTTCTGAGATGGTAAATCTTTACAAGAGCAGTTAGCCTCATCTTTCTCCCATAGGGCAGCTGGTGGTCTCAAACCAGCAACAGTGTGGTTAGCAGTCTGGTGTGTATCCTACAGTGCCAATGTGATCCCCAAAATAGATGTAGCTCCTGATAGCGTAGTGGTTATGAGACAGGCTGCTAATCTCAAGGTCAGCAGTTCTAAACTACTAGTGGTTCCATGGGAGAAAGATGAGGCTTTCTGCTCCTGTAAAGATTTACAGGCTCAGAAACCCTATATAGGGTCACTATGAGTCAGAGCTGACTCCAGGGCACATACCCAGCACCACCACCTGTTTTTATTCATTTGACATATAGTTTGGTGAGAATAGTCTAATTGTGTTTTTAAGTACTTTAAAACAACAGATCAATCCCTTCTTGCATGAGCTATGTGAAAGCTTTTCCAGTGTCATGCTACAGAAAAATAGCTCAATCAGAAACCAAAAGGGTGTGTCCCTATTGTTGTTTCATTAGAAACTGCACCTGCTGTGGGGCTTCAGATCACTTTCTCCATTGTTAAAAATGTCCTTTTGGTGTGTTATGAGTGTATGTGATGTACCCTTAAAATAACCCCCAAAGTTCTCTCAGTTTAAAAAGTCTTAGTCTAAAATTCAACCTTTATTAATTACTTGATATAATAGAATATCAAATTAATGGAATCCCTTTTCATTTTAATGGTACAGATTCTCAGAAAAGCAAAATGTTCAAATCTTTGAAAAACTATTTGTAATCATAACTATTTCTTAAAGTCATTGTCAGTTTCTAACAAGGTGTCATATTAATAATGATATGAATAGAAAGGTAAATTGATGTTTGTATATATTTGAAATTTTAAAAAATGAATCTTGTAAAGCTGTAATATTTTTCCTGTGGTTTCAGGACAAGAAAAGTAGATTTAATTCCTACTGGGCTGGGGAGAGTGGTAGGGAAATTATAATACTGTTCATTTTCTCAGATATCAAAATCGGCCTTTTCTGATTGAAAAATTTGCTTCAACCCTGCTTTTATGAGTGTTATAAGAGTATATGATGCTGGTATCAGCAGCTGCAATTCATGTAACGTTAGAAATTCATTCATTTATTTCAGTCTCTGTATTCTTGTTCCCTTTTCTACACTGTAGCCTAATTAATTGTTGTTCATCAGTCTTAATGATGGGGTTGAAAGTGTAACAGATATGAGAAAAGTCATGAAGATCGTTTATTCTTGCATGAATGTGGTATATCTAGAATCCAAACTGATGTCAAAGTTGATAAATGGTAACCATAAACCTTTCAAGAATTCAAAGTCAACGATGTGGTATAGAGAGGAAAGAATATGGTGCAAATAAATAGGAAATCTGGATTCTCCATTGTTGTTACTGGCAAGCTGAATTCCTTGGGTCTCTTCATTTTATTTCTCTATCCTTCTTTTTCTTCAGATTAAAGAGAGTTGTTACTATTAAGTGCTGTTGACTCAGTTCCGACTCATAGAGCCTCTGTATAGGACTTCTGAAGAGTAGCTGGTGGCTTTGAACTTCCAACCTTGTTAGTAGTCCAGTTTTTATCTTACAACACCACACCAGGATGGATGCCAACTTTAAGAGTATGGACTAAATAATATTTTAGGGGTTCTTATTACAAAGACCAAAAATATTCATTTATTCTCCATTGTGCAGTTTCTGCCATTGACTTTTACTTTAAATGTCCACCTGATTTGTAACTCCTGTACCATTTATGTGTGACCCTTGTTGTTAAGTGCCTTTGAGTCAGTTCTGACTCATAACAACCCTGTATAGGGTTTCTAAGGAGTGGCTGGTGAGTTTGAGCCATCGACCTTGTGGTTAAGAGTCCACGGCTTATCCTACAGTGCCACACAAGGACTCCTTGTGACACTTTTGCTGTTGTTAGGTGCCATTGAGTCGGGACCCCCTCGTAGCAACCCTATGCACAACAGAACGAAACACTGCCCAGTTCCCTGCCAATCTCACAATCCTTGCTAAACCTGAGCCCATTGCTACTGTCTCTGTGATAATCCATTGCACTGGGGTTCTTCTTCATTTTCTTTGAACCCTCCACTTTTCCAAACATGATATCCTTCTCCAGGAACTGGTCCCTCCTAACAATATGTCTGAGCTATGCAAGACAAAGACTAGCCATCCTGGCCTCTAAGGAGCAATCTGGCTGTACTTCTTCCAACACAGATTTGTTTATTCTTTTTGTTTTCCACGGCACTTCTAATACTCTCCTGAAGCACCATAACTGAAATGCATCAATTCTTCTGTGGTCTTCCTTATTTACTATCCAACTTTCATATGCATATGAGGTTATTGAAATACCATGGCTTGGATCAGGCACACTTTTGTCCTCAAACTGACATCTTTTCTCTTCAATACTTTAAAGAGGTCTTATGCAGCAGATTTGCCAATTGCAACACGTCGTTTGATTTCCTGACTGCTGCTTCCATGAATGTTGATGGTTGATCCAAGCAAAATGAAGTCTTTGACAACTTCAATCTTTTCTCCATTTATATGGATGTTTATTGCTACAATGGTGAGGGTTTTTGTTTTCTTTACATTGAGATACACATCATTCCGGAAGGCTGTGGTCTTTGATCTTCATCAGTAAGTATTTTAAGTCCTCTTCGCTTTCAGCAAGCAAGGTTGTATCATTTGATTATCACAGATTGTTAAATGAGTCTTCCTCCAATCCTGGTTATATGTTTTTCTTCATATAATTGAGCTTCTTGGATTATTTTCTTAGCATACAGATGGAATAAGTATGGCGCACACCTTTCCTAATTTTAAACCATTAGGTGTTCCCCTGTTCTGTTTGAACAACTGCCTCTTGGTCTATACACAGGTTCCTCATGAGACCAATTTTAGTGTTCCGGATTACTCCTTCTTCATAATGTTGCCCATGTCTTATCATGATCCACACAATTGAAAAGCCCTTGTGTAATCAGTAATAGCACAGGTAAACATCTCTCTGGTATTCTCTACTTTAAGCAAAGATCCATCGACATCAACAATAATATCCATCATTCCACATCCTCTTCTGAATCCAGCTTGAACCTCTGGAAGTTCTCTGTCAGTCTGGTTGTGGCCATTTTTATATTATCTTTAACAAGATTTTACTTGCATTAATGATACTGTCTGATGATTTCTTCATTCCGTTGGGTCACTTGTCTTTGGAATGGGCACAAATACAGATCTTTTCCAGCCAATTGACCAGGTAGTTGTCTTCCAAATTCTTGGCACAGATGAGTGAATGCCTGCAGTGCTGCATAAGTTTGTTAAAAGATTTCAATTTCTATTCCATCAGTTCCTGGTGTCTTTTTCTTTGCCAGTGCCTTAGATGCACTTTGTACTTCCTTCAGGATCATTAGCTCTTGATCATATGCTACCTCTTGAAATGTTTGAACATTCACCTTTTCTTTTTGGTAAAGTGACTCTGTGTATTCCTTCCATCTTCTTTTGATGCTTTCTGAATCATTCAATTCTTTGCCCATAGTAT